AATCCTCTGCTGGCCTCATCCTCAGAGACCAACCAACACTCCCCGCTCGTCTCTGCTACCACTCAGGAATACGGCCGAGTGATCATGAAGAAAGACGCACTGATCAACAAGCTCGGACTCGAGGCCGCCCAGCGTGCTATTCGTAAGGCCAGAAGCCAGCGGAAACCCTACCGCCCTTCAGCAAATCATCCACCTTCATCTTCGCCCCCAAGCTCCCCACAGACAAGCTGCTGGCGTACCGGGAGGATCGGAAAATGGCTAGAATCCGCCGACGATGATTCAGAGGAGGAAGGGGACAGACGGACCAATTTGCCCCGTGGCCGGGACTTGATGGGCTCACTTTCCAAGCTCGCCAAAGAAGAATCCTCGACATCTGTTCAGCCTTCCTCCAGCTCGACTGACCAAGCAGCCAATGATCCACAGAGCTTGTTCTGGTCGCCGATCAAGGGCAAACAGAAGGTGTCCGGGATCCCGGCAACCAAGCGGGCACCGCACTCGGCCTCGATCGCCGCGCCGATCGACAGCCAGCAGATCCTCGAGCGAATCGGGCGGATGAGTGCGCTGGAGATGGGCATCCGCTGGCCGCTCGACCGGCCCTCGACCCCGCCGAACCAACAGTCGTCGTTCTTCCACATCGACGAGCTCAACGCCGCCCGCGGCCACCGTCACCCAGCCGACCGTCTTGCCCCCTTCTCGCAGCTCTCCTTCGGCAGCCAGTCTGGCACGGCGCTCCAGACTAGCATGCTCAAGCCCGGCTGCAACCTCTCCCAGGCCTTCCTCGTCCGGGCCGCCTCCCCGACCATCCTCCTCTCCGCCCCCGCCCCGGCCGACGAGAATCGCAGCCCACTTGTGCTCGCCCCGCAGCCCCACCTCTCACCCTCTTTACCGGCCAGACCACATCAAAACGACTTCTCTCCCTGCTCGCCGTTGAGACATGATCTCCTCAAACTGATCGACCAGCACCAAGGATCTGCCAGACTCGATAGTCCCAACCCGATAACCGCCTTCTCCTCTTCACAATCTACGGCAGCACACGAACACCGTTGGCTCGCTGACCTTGACACCAACTCACTCGCTAACCTGAACTTCGATAACCCCTTCTCTTCTCCCACTCCGGATCCCCCGCTTGAAGACTTCTTGGGCTACGTTTGATCTTCTTCTTCTTCTTTGGATAGAACTTCCTGGAAATACCTCACCTCTTCTTCACATATATCTATATCTATATATATATATACATAAATTTCATATTTATAAGTCTATTCATCTCTCCATCTTTTTTTTTTGTTTCTTTGATAAAGTTTCTGTAACCCTTACATCCTTACTAGTGTTGTTGTTGTTGTTGTTGTGATTCTTAAGAAGTATGGTCTCAGTACCGGTATTTATATCTACATAACCTTATAGTTATTTATATATATGTGTCCGGCCTCATTGGATACGTTGTTGTCTTTCTTTCTTTTTTTGGTTGGTTGGTTGTTGAGGAGTCAAGGGGGGGGGAGGGGTTATCTTGTGGATGAGAGATACGTGTTTCTTATCTTTGTTTTGGATGTATATGGTTTTGTTTTGGTTGTTGGGAAGGTTGCCGTTCTGGACAGGCAGCTGGTTAACAAGAGACTCACTTTAGTCAACTCCCAGGTTTTTTTCCCAATTTAGAGGCTTATTATATCTTGTTTTCCATTTTTTAGGTTTTACATTGTTTTCAATACATAAACAAATTCACACACACACACACACATTCTGGTCAAGTATGTGATAAACAAATATGTATAACCAAAAACTTAACAGGGAACCAGTTGGTGTGTACTTGATGATTCTAGTGGATTGATTGAAGACCATTCCAATCAATTGCAATAAGCTGTCCATCGGTGACAATTCAGTCCACAATTAAAAATCTTCCTTCCACTATGTACATACTCCTTATTTCATTTCACTTTTTGCTTTTGAAAACAAAAATGATGTAAGAGTATTATCCTGTTTGACAACACATAATGTGTGAGATTGGTTAATTAATCCATATTTCGATTGACTGTGCATTATATATGGTGAAATATTGGATGCTGATCCTTCTAAGTTCTAGTCAAGATTCAGGGATAAGGGTTATACACTAGGTACTTGAATGTTTGTGGGTTTCTGAAGTGTGACCAGCAGTGGCTGGTCATCAGGGAAAAGGAAGGAAAACAAACTTTATATGATAGTATCAAGTTGCACGTCTATATCTTTAATATCTGCGTTCATAAATAGCTTTTCTCTTTTTTTTTGTTTCCCCTCACTTTATTTATACTTGATGTTTGCGAACACGCAAATTTCTTGAGTGGAAATCCCAGAGGAACAGGTATAATGTATATGATTATGGACTCAGTTTTGCCTTTGGCTTCTTCTCTTCATCCCAATCAACATCCGGTACACCCTTGGACGAGACGCCCTTGAGCTGCTAACTTAATCAACTCGCTCAGCTTCATAGGGGGCTCATTAAAGTTAGCTTCCGCTGTGCGATTTGGTTGGATTTTATCTGTCGATCTTGCTGGCATACCCCATGTCCATGCCCTCTGGGAAAGGCCTCGGTTTTTTTTCTGGTAGGCAAATCATTTGTGACTTTCGGGCGAAGTCGTATGGCATCATAGCCCTACGCGCCTATATGTACATAGAGTATTTTGAGAGAGACATGTCATGTTGAGGTCAAGACGTTCGTTGATGAAACTGGCGGACTGCTTCATCCTCTGTACGGCCCACTTTACCGGGCGAGACATCCTCTCGAGATCCCCCGCACGTGATGAGCTCAGACCTGTATAGAGCTCCCTGGCCCATCGAGCCAGAAGAGGTCGCTTTTGGAGCAATCTGACGCACTTGGACCGAAGTCGCCTCCGGGACTTGGTCGCAGCTGAAACATCTCCCCAGCTTGAGTACGGATGATAACTGCTTAACTGGAAATGGTCTTATCGTCGAGCAGCCTTGCCTTGATAAGGGATACGTTGTACCAACATTAGCTTGTCTTGACGTTGCTCGCATGCCGATCACAACTCTATAAAGAAATCATTGAACCATTGATCATTATTTCGGAATCCTTTCGCTCCCCATCCAAGAAACAGCTCGCATCCGAAACATGCGCTCAACCTCACTCGTTTTCACCTTGGCCACCGCAATCACTGCATCGGCGCCTGACAATTCTCCCCATCACAACAATCTGCAACCGAGGCAGATAGCGGGAGATGCAGAATCGGGAGACTGCTCAGGATATGCGTTGAATCGAGGCACTTGGGCTGAGCTGGGAATCGACAACTATCTTTTGCATTTCCCTGGCGGGCAAAACCTCACACTCTTTGTCAGCAATCTCAAAAAATCATCTGTTGATTCAACTCCACTACCACGATAGTGTTCACTGAAAATTGCTTCCAATTTCCCTTCTTCTTGCCAGGATTACACTCGCTCATTAAACGTCTTGAATTTCGACTGTGGAGTCGGTAGAATGTGCTTGGCTGGACAGGTAATTTATCTAAACTTGTAAAGAACACTAGTGTCCTCCTAGCAATATTCTTTTTTCTCCGAGAGCTCA